TGGGAGTCTAGCGACATAACCATTACACTAACTGCTGGTTCCCCTTTTTCTTTTTTTCTTGAATCTCTTTTACTCCAGGCCATATGGAGGGTACCCCGGAGCAGAGCTTTGGTGCCTAGGGAGAATGGACACTAAGGAGGAACTAAAGGGTGCTCCTTTCAGCCAATTGCAGTTGGGCACAAGCTTCATTTTACAAACCTGACTGGAAACACAATCAGTCGCACTGTGTTTGCTTAAGCGGTTCTCTGAAGCCAGAGATCATAATCCCACTTTTGCCAAGAGCCCACTGTCCTGGGACATTAAATAGGATTTGAGCTGAAAGCACCTTCCCCTTTCCTTCCCCCACCTCTGCCAATCTTCTTTAGTACCTTGGATCTCTTTCAGACCTCAGCTCTGGGCTAAGCAGTAACACATTAACTTGGATGTCCGGCCTCTCTTCTCACTTCCTCCTGGAGTCAGTCTCTGTGGCTGTCTTTCCTACCTACCACCCTATTGACCTACTCTATGTGAACATTTTTTGGTCCTGGAAAGCCTTGGAATTCTGCCAATAGAGGTACTGAGAGGAAACAGAGATGAAGAAAATGACCCCAAGGGCCTCCTCTTAAGAAGAGGACAAAGATTAAAGCAGTAAAGGTAATTGTCACACAGAAAAAGAAAAAGGTGGGAACCAGCAGTAGCGTAATGGCTATGTCGCTAGACTCCCATGTAGTCGACCACGGTTCGTGTCCCGAACCCGGTGGCTTAAAACTCACGCCAGGGGCGTGTGCGTGTGTGCCCAAGATCCTGAGAGGAGAGTGGAGGAGAAGGGATTGCGGCATGACCATCCCCCCTGGGGGGTGATTTCTCGCTTTCTATCTCTATGTCTCTCTCTGTCTGTCTGGCGAGCGTACACGCCCTACAGTGAAAATCTCTCCAAAAAAAAAAAAAAGAGAAAAAGAAAAAGGTGCACTAGCCAATTTATAAATGAGCTTCAAATTCAGGTTAAAATAGTAAACTCAGCTTCAATTCAGCCTGGGTCTTCCTCTGACCCTGTAGGATCAGGGTGTGTAGGATCCCTTGAACTTCCAACTGGCTTCTCTGAGATTCACCCTGATGACCCTTGCTTAGTTTCTCTGTTTCCCAGAAAGGGATTGAGAAAGGGATTGAGGTGCAACCAGACCATTTAGAGGGGGCTCCTCTCTTTCTCATGTGGGCATGCATGTGCTCTAGCACAAATAAAGAAGGAAAAAAAATATTAAAGCAAACAAACAAACTGTCTTCTCTTTATTGAGAATCTTTGATGCCAATTTTCATGGGCAAGAAGGTGGGTCTTGAGGGGGGACCATCAAACTCAACCTTCCCACAAATGTACAAAGACTTGTCATTCGAATCTCAGGGGTGGGAGGCACAGGTGGAAGAGTTTCCTATTTCAAAAATGGTGTCATGGTGTTCCTGGATGAGGGGCCCTATGCCCAGGTCCAGGACATGAACTGCAGTCCTCCAGGTGGGAGTTCAGCACCTTAACCACCATCCCACCTGCCAGCCCCCAAAGATATTCACACATGCCTTCCCAGCATAGCCATACTATAATAAATTTTTCCTCTCTCTCAACAATTTTGCCTCTCTGTGTTCTATGGAGCAGCCAAGGGGTTAGACTTGGGCCAGCAGGTGCTTGGAGGTTAAGGCAGTTGGATTTCACATGGCTGACTGTGTGGTTCAAATCTCGAACCTGATAGCTTGAAAATGACACTGGATGTGTGTGTGTGTGTGTGTGTGTGTGTGTGTTGTGTGTGTGCTGACCCCAAATCCAGAAGAGACTGGAAGATAAGGGATTATGGTGTGACTATCCCATCTAGTGGGATGATTTCTCACTAGCCCCCACCCCCCCATCTCTCCCTCTTTGGTAAGTACATACACCCAAAAAATTTGGTGGGTCACAGGTGGCGTGGTGGTTGAAGGTGCTGGATTCTCACATGGTCGACCCTGGTTCAAGTCCCAGACCCGTCTCTCTGGTCAAGTTTCAAAAATGATAACAAATTAAATTAAATATTATTTAAAAAAAAAAACAAACTAGGACTAGCAGATGGTATAACGGTTATGTCACTGGACTCCCATGTAGTTGACTGCAGTTCAAGTCCTGGTCACAGCAGCTTAGAACTCAAGCTGGGCGCATGTGCGTGCATGTCCAAAATCCTGACAGGAGAATGGAGAAGGTATTGTGGCATGGCTATCTCTCCGGGGGATGATTTCTTGCTTTCTGTCTCTCTGTCTCTCTGATGAGTACACATGCCCTAAGGCAAAAATCTCTCTCTCTAAAAAAATAAAAATAATAAAATAAAATAAAATAATTCTTTTAAAATTTAATTAGGCTTATTTTAAAAAGACTATGTTTATCAGCCTACTTATAGATGCTTCAGGGGGGCGCTGTGGGGCTATTACAGAAAGAGCATAGATCAGGATCATTTTTTGCTGAAGCATGAGTGAGTGATTTGTCTTTGAGACAGGAGTTTCAGTTTGTGGCGAGGGCAGAATGTCCCTCATTGTTTTAGTTTTAGGTTGGTCATCTCCTTGGAGTTCCTATGATAAATGTCAGAGTCAGTGTTCTTCTGACTAAGTGGGCCCGTTACTATAGTAGATCTTGGGGAAACTCAGGACCGTGTTGGACTCAGCATATTCACCATGAAGTTTAATGTCACTTTCATTTTGGATACTTGAGGGAGGTGAACACAGCCATGTTTTAGTGCTTGGGACGTCTAAATACCCTCACGTAGTCTTGGATAATTGGCCTCCAGACTCATCTGGTCATCCACAAGGGTAAAGAGAACCCTAATGAAGGGACTCATACTCTAGGTCTAGGTTTCTGCCTGGAACCATGCTTAGGATCCCAGGCTCTTCCCTCTACCTGCCAGTGCCCCATTTCCGCTTCAGGATCAGCACCTAATCTCCTCAGGCATAGCCAATTAACATGTGGAATCTGTTCGTCATCTTTCTGAAAGCCTGCCTGCTCTCTGCTCTCATTTCCTTGGGGCACTGGCAGTGACAACTACAACTTGGGCCTCTTTCCAGAGCATAGAGAAAGAGGAAATTCTGGGTTCTTATCCTACTATATCAGAAACATCAACACTTCTGCTGGTCCAGAGTTCAGAAATGCTATTTGTAACCCCTGTATGTTAACACGTGAGTAAAGTAAATCTTTGTGGCTCCCATCAGAATCTATTTAACCATAACCTCCCTGCAGGGGCTGCAAATAGCAAGCTGCCTTGCACCAAGTCTTGCAGGTATCTTCTTTAATCTTTCCAACGATCTTATAACCCAGGGATCAGTATTAGCCCCTATTATGCAAAGGAAGTTACTAACACAGAGACTGATTAAAGAATTTGCTCATGGTCACACAGAGCCACAAAGTGGCAGAGCCAGGATCTAGCCCTCTAGTCAGACCCAGCTGTGTCTTGTCCAAGCCCACATCGGCTTTGACTCCTGTGCACTTAGTGTTACTAACAGGTAGATGATCTCAACAAAGTACAGCCACAATTTGTTGATGTTATATTAATACATATTTTGCAAGTAAGAGGGGTTACCTGGTTTAGTTACCTTACAAATGAAATATTCACAGACCAGCAGATTAAGTAGTGGTTACATAGTTGGACTCCCACATAGCCAAATGTCCTGGACTCAGTGACTTGAAATTCATACCAGGCACTTGTGCCTGTGTGCCCAAGATCCCAAGAAAAGGGAGGAGAAAAGATTGTGCTGTGGCCATCCTTTCTAGGGAGGGGGTGATTTCTCACTTTTCCTCTCACTGTCTCTGTCTTTCTCTGGCGAGTGCATGCATCCTAAAGCAGAAACCTCTACCAAAAAAAAAAAAAAAAAACAAAAAAAACCATATATTCAAAACGTCTCTTTGGGATGAGGGGACCCATGGTACAGTGGATCCTGCATGACTATTGCAGTTGGAATCCTCAGCCCTTCCAGCCTGAGGCAGCCTGCACACAGGAATATGAACCCAAGATCTGCTGGGCTAGTGGGCTGGAGAAAGGGATTGAGGTGCAACCAGACCATTTAGAGGGGGCTCCTCTGTTTCTCATGTGGGCATGCATGTGCTCTAGCACAAATAAAGAAGGAAAAAACTTTTAATATTAAAGAACCCTCAAACAAAATGTCTTCTCTTTGTCGAGAATCTTTGATGCAATTTTCATGGGCAAGAAGGTGGGTCTTGAGGGGAGGCCATCAAAGAAAAGGCAGATGTGAAGAAATTGGATTGGAAGGATTTTTCTAGATTTGGACTAATGGATCAAATGTTTATCTTTTAATCAAGGATTTTACAGCTCAACAACAGAGAGTCACTGAGAATCCCAATATTGGAAGCTGGTGGGTTAAAGTTAGGGTTGGGGAAATAAAAAAATTAAAAAAAAAAAAAAAAAAAAAAGGAAGCTGGGGCCAGCAGGTGGTATGGTGGTTAAGATGCTGGATTCCCACATGGCCAACTGCTGTCAAGAGTCCAGGACCAGGCAGCTTGAGGACAACAGGCACACGTGTGTCCAAAATGCCTAGAGAACGGAGGAGGGGCATTGCGGTGTGGCCATCTCCCCTGTGTTTGTGTGGGGGTGTGATTTCTCACTTTCTCCCTGTCTCTGCAGAGCCCGTGCTGGCAGAGGAGACACTGGTGGGAGTGAGGCTACTAAAAGTGGGGGCACTAGGAGTCCAGATGACCTGTAAGGCTCCCTGGCCTTTGCTGTGTCTTTGCATTCCAACACAGGCGCCCAGGACCAGACAAGAACTCAGTTCCCTCCACCAACGAGGGCGGCGGAACAGCTCACACACAACGAAGGCAACTCTGCTTTCGATCGCGGCCTTCCCGGCCTCAGACGAAGCCCGCCCTGGTGCACAGGCCCCTGCGAGGTCGGAGGTGGGCCTCTTCTAAGCGCTGCTGCTGCGCCGGGGACTCCCCTCTGCCAGTAGGTGGCGCTGGAGGGCCCCTCCTCCCCCGCGGAACTTCCTGTCCGGCGTCACTTCCGGCTCCTGTGAGCATCACCGTGCCAACGCCGGTTGCTCTGCCTGCGCCCAGTCCGGCTTACAGTAATGATGGACCTGGGTAGCTGCGCCCCCCCGGGAGGTCTGGACCTCAGGCTGGGCCCCTCCTCTGACCCGGGGGACCCCAGCGCCCGCTGAGCTGCGCCCCCTCCGCAGAGTCCGGGTTTCACTTCTGGGGCCCCCTTCCCACGTTTTTAATTAGTACTTGTCATTTCTTCCCTCCATTCCTTCAGCCTGGGGGTGGGGGTGACGGCAGCCTCCTAATAATATGGTGTCATCTCCGTCTCCCCCCACCTTTTCAACGAGCACCTTTTTTCTTTTTCTTTCTTTTATAAAGATTTATTTTGATTTTAACATTATTTTTATTTTCCAGTTTGATCGCAGAGAGACAGAGAGGGAAAGGGAGAACTCCAGCGTCTTTAACCACCATGGCACCTGCCAGCCCCTGATTATTTTACAATGTGACCTGAGACACACACAAACACACACACACACACACACACAGAGAGAGAGAGAGAGAGAGGGAGAGAGAGAGAGAGGGAAAGTGAGAAAAGTCACCAAGTCTAGGACTTGAACCATGGACAGCCATGTGGAAGTCCAGCAGCTTTAACCACCATGCCACCCGCCGGCCCCTTATTTTCCAATTTGACCTGAGACAGACAGAGAGAGAGAGAGAAATTGAGAAAGCAAGCTGCCAGGTCTGGGACTCGAACTGCAGTCTGGGAGTCCAGCACCTCTAGCTACCACGCCGCCTGCCAGCCCGTTTTTCTTCCTTTCTCTTCCTTCCTTCCTTCCTTCTTTTCTCTCTCTCTTTCTCTCTCTCTTTCTTTCTTTCTTAGGTTTGCTTTAGGGCATGTGCCCTGGAGAGAGAGAGAGAGAGAGAGAGAGAGAGAGACTGAGAAACCACCCCCCAGAGAGTGTGGCCATACTCCAGCCCCTTAACATTTTCCTCTCTGAATTTTGGGCAGCCATAGCACAGGGGACTCCAGGATCTAGCCACCCAAACCACCTGGCCACCTTTGGCGCTCTACTTTATAGCTCGTTCTGAATATTAAATTTGCTCTGTTTGGAATGTTGCCTTTGTGGAAGGGTGATTCGGAGTGGGGAGGAGTCAGCAGCTTTGACGAAGGCATTTCCCATACCTGTTGTCAAAACCCTTCTGGAGTCCAGCAGCCCGCAGTATGTTCCTGTTCTTTAGCCAGCCAAGATCCCTAAGCTCACAGACTTCAGTGAGGAAGATCTGCAATCTGGAATCTCTGGGTGTTTCTACAACCTACAGATAATATTAGCGGCCCCATAAAGGCAGGCAGATGGACTTTTCTTCTTGCAGTTGGCTTTGAAGAATAAACTCTGGTTTTCATTTATTATTATTATTATTATTTAATACAATAACAAACATCCTTGAAGGTGTTTTTAGTGCCTGGTCCCTGTAATGCTCATGGAACACGAAAATTGGCACTTGGACTCCCAAACAAAAGAAGGCAGGATCATACCTGTGTGCTCCTACAGTTCCTTGATGGAGGGTGGCGGTGGGAGGGGGCTTTTCAGTTATTGAACAGTTTTTATGAATGGCTTTATGGGAGGAGAGTGTGTGTACAAACTGGACTGTTCTGGTGGGAATACTTGCTAGCCTTCTGAGCTATTGCTAGCATTTTTTTCCCCCTGACTCATTCACCTGCTTGAGTGACTGGGGCTTGAGAATATGCCAGTGAATCATTTATCTGAGCCTGCCCTCTTATCTGAGAGCGGAAGCCGAAGGGTGAGCCGTAGAGCCACCTGCTGTTCTCTCCTTTGCAGAGATCAAAGAGGAAGCTGAGACACTTTCTTGGACGTCTTGTGAACATCAGAAAATATGGAGGGTTAGAAGAAGACCAAGGGATTTGATGTTTACATGTGCTTCCATGGAATCCGGCCAGTGTTCACTTGGAAACAGAAACAGACCTTGGCAAGAGACTGTCCCCAAGCAGTGAAGAAGCTATTAAAGGTGAGAATGTTCTTTCACTTAGGTTTCCACTAAAGTTATTACTAAAGAGGATGCAGTCTTAGGGCTTAGAAATGAGGGAAAAGGATCATTGTTGGAAGGATAGGTCACATTTTCTTTCTTTCTTTCTTTCTAGATATTTTGTTTTTTTCCTGTATAATATCTGGTGCTACTTACTTTCCTGAATTGTAGGTGTGGTTTGGTGGAACAAGAATTAGGCTTGCAGACAAAAAACTAGGGGGACTGGAGGGTGGAGGGGGTGCTGGATTTGCTGCTTGTAATGGCTGTGATCTTTGGCAAGTTGTAATCTTTTGGTTTCCTATCTACAACTGGGGTTTGGTAATAGCTACATTTCAGATTGGTCATGAAAATGAAATGGAATAATGTAAAGAAATGTTTCTGACACTCATTAAATATTGTATATATAAAACCATTTGTGTTCTTGTGGGTAGATCTATTTGAATTTGGATAAACTATCTGAATGATTACAGTGTAGTTTTTTTTTATAACACTGAATTGTTTGTACTTCTTTAAAAACATTTTTTTTTAAAAAAAAAAGTTTAGATAGCACATCTGACCAGTGACTTGTATGTGGTGAAAACATCCTAATAATATAAATTGCCACAGAAAAGGAACAAGTGTGGTTTTGCTTTCAAAAGGACCTTCAGATTCCTCAAACTGATGCCGAGAGCCTGAATTTCATGGACTTACCTTTCCAGACCTACCAGCGAGACCAGAGGAACGCTACATTCTAGCGTGGTAGGATGCGGTTGAAGAATGAGGACTGAGGGGTGGGGACTGTTGCTGGCTAATTACAATCTGACAAGGGCAGGTGCTCAGTTCTTCCCTTTCTCTCTCCTCGGGTGGAGCTGGAGCCAGGCCCAGATCCCAGTGTGGTCAGCTGGTTTGTAGGGTCAGATTTTCGAGCTCTCTACTAGCAAGCCAAGTGCAAAAGACGCCTAGGCAGGTCTGTACTGAGGACACTTGTCCAGATAAGAAATGTATTTTTGCCGCTAGGTCTGGAGTTGAACTTGCTATTCCTGGTAGTTTGTAATCGAAGGCATTTTGTTCTGTCCAAGTACTCTATCTTCCTCCTCTCCTCCTCGGTGCCACACTCTACTTGTCTTCTCTTCCATGAAGATGCTTCAGTGCAAGAAACTCTGCCGGCAGCATCACCTGTGGATCCTCGGCTGCTACACCTTGCTGGCCATTGTGGCTCTGAGACTGTCTCTGAGATTGAAATGTGACTTTGACCACTTGGATTTACAGTCCAGGGAATTTCAAAGCCAACGCTGTAGGAATCTCTTGTACAAGTCCCTGAAGTTGCCGGCAAAGAGGTCTGTCAACTGTTCGGGGGTCACCCGAGGAGACCAGGAAGCCGTGATTCAGGCTCTTCTAAATAACCTGGAGGTCAAGGAGAAGCGGCAGCCCTTCACAGATGCCGACTACCTTCACATGACCAGAGACTGTGAGCGCTTTAAGGCCCAGAGGAAGTTCATCCAGTTCCCACTGAGCAAAGAAGAGCTAGACTTCCCTATTGCATATTCTATGGTGGTTCACGAGAAGATTGAAAACTTTGAGAGGCTGCTGCGAGCTGTGTACGCCCCTCAGAACATATACTGCATCCACGTGGACAGAAAGTCCCCAGAAACTTTCCAAGAGGCAGTCAAGGCCATTATATCATGCTTCCCAAATGTCTTCTTAGCCAGTAAGCTGGTGAAGGTGGTTTATGCCTCCTGGTCCAGGGTGCAGGCTGACCTGAACTGCATGGAAGACTTGCTTCAGAGCTCAGTGCCCTGGAAGTACTTCCTGAACACATGTGGGACAGACTTTCCTATAAAGACCAATGGCGAGATGGTCCAGGCCCTCAAGGTATTGAATGGGAAGAACAGCATGGAGTCAGAGATACCCAGTAGGCTCAAAAAGAACCGCTGGAAATATCAATACGTGGTGACAGACACATTGCACATGACTGGCAGGAGGAAGGACCCTCCTCCTAATAACTTAACCATGTTCACAGGGAATGCCTACATGGTGGCTTCTCGAGACTTCATCCAGCAAGTCTTACAGAACCCCAAATCCCAACAACTGATTGAATGGGTAAAAGACACCTATAGCCCCGATGAACACCTCTGGGCCACCCTTCAGCGTGCACCCTGGATGCCTGGCTCTGTACCCTACCACCCTAAGTACGATGTCTCAGACATGACCGCCATCGCAAGGCTGGTCAAGTGGGAGGAACACAAGGGAGACGTCAATGATGGTGCTTCCTATGCACCTTGCTCTGGAATCCACCAGCGGTCTATCTGTATCTACGGGGCTGGGGATCTGTGCTGGATGCTTCAGAACCATCACCTGTTGGCCAACAAGTTTGACCCCAATGTGGACGATAATGCTTTTCAGTGCCTAGAAGAGTACCTACGTCACAAGGCCATCTATGGGACAGAACTCTGAGATGCACTCTGACAGGAATATGTGCAGACATCGCAGACATGCCCAGAACTTGCTGAGGCTATGGAGGGGGTAGAATGAGGTGGGGAGACCAGGGCTTTGAAATCCAGGGCATCCCCCAGGATAAGAGGGCTGCTTTTGGGTAAGTGGATCCATGGCCTTGAAAACTGTTGCTTGCCTCCTCGGCCCTCTCCCCAGAAATTTTTCTACTGACTTTCTTCCAGAGTGAGAATGAGAACCACTGTTAGAGTAAGGAAAGGGGTGTGGCGGGGGACCCTGGATTTCAGGTTAAGGCCTGGAGTCAGCCTTTCTACTCTGGAGATGCTCTTTGAGTAATCTAGGCTTGGCAGTACAGAGGGGGACTTTGATGCCAAGAGAGCCTTCTGTTTTATACTTGAATTTAAAAATAAATAGCTTTTGATTTAAAGCCCTACCTGTTCTTTTCTCTCATAAGCCAGAAATAGTATAAACAGGTAAAATGTGTGAAACTTTTTTGCATAACCACTGGTGACAGGTAAAATCTCTAGGGGCTGGCAAGAGTTCCCCTTATTCCAAAATGGTCCTGGCAAACTGTATGAGTGACAAATCCAAAGGAATTGCAGCACTCATCTTCCAGCGCACGGCCACAACTTAACGTTCCATATGAGAGATAACAGCCATTTATGTAATGTCACATACAATTTGCTGTCCATACTGGAATGCATTTGAGTAGAGGGAGGGTTAATGATACTGGAAAAGGAAAATAAACTAGGACCATCCAGCTTATACAACGCCGAACACTCCTGAGTTAAAACTCTCTCCTGGTATCAAAGCAGAAGGTGACTATTCGTGATTCTGTGGATTTGTGTATTTCCTCATGGGAAGACAATGTGTGTGTAAGTATATTTACAGAGTGTGTGTGTATAAATGTACACACCCACACACACATTCTCCACCCCACAGGTTATCCAGTGGAATGGTTTCCTTCCCGAAGTTCCAGAGATAATTGCTGGCTGTCAGTCCTACTCCTTCCGTGGTAGGCAAAGGACACTACACTGTGCCCCTGGGACACAGTGCTGCCAATCTGCATATGCTACAGTCTGGTAAAGTGGTTTATATGCAAGCGACTTTGCATCATTTGATTGGAGTGATGATCCCATCAATCTGTCATGATATCATTGATGTGTTTCTTTATTTCTAATACAGTGAATACATTTTTCTCTTGCAATCATATTTCTGTGCAACCCATGTAATTCTAACCCAGTTCTGTGGATCTGTTTGACATAGTACATCTTCAGTCTCTACGTCAGTGATTTCTTTGTGAAGTGATTTCTTTGTAAGCCCTTTGGTAGTGGACGTCGCCCCACCAGCTTACCCGCACCGTAGTCCTGCGTCCTCTTCACCTCTTTCGCATCTCCTTTTGGAGGTGACACAGGATCAACCATATGTGCAGTCGGTGTGTAAGGTCTGCTGCCAGCTGTGATGATCTTGGACCCCCAGTGATCCATGTGCTTGTCCCCAGCCCCTTCTGAAGGGGATGGGAGTGGGTGCACTGGTGTAAGTGGCAAGAAAGCTTATCTGGTAGAATGGTGGTTAAGGTGCTGGATTCCCACATGACCAAGTATGGTTCAAGTCCTGGACCTAGAGACTTGAAGATCACACCAGGCGTTTGTTGTGTATGTGTGCCCAAAATCATGAGTTGAGAATGAAGGGATTGCAGCGTGGCCATCCCCCTTGAGAGGTGATTTCTCACTTTTCCTTTCTCTCTTTCTCTCTTGCGTGGACAAGCACATACACTCTATGCGGAAAAAAAAAAAAAAAAAAAAAGGAAAGCAAGCAAGCAAGCTTCCCTGAGTGTGTGTGTTCTGAGGAAAGAATCTGGGCCTTGGCTTCACGGTCAACCTGCTCTAAAAGTTTTCATGTGAAATAAGTTATAATTTGTCAGACAAATAAAAAGATTAAAATATGAACTTGTCATTTTGGGAGGAACAAGTTGCTGCATCTTCCCAAGCATTGAGAAGTTGTCTAGAAACACATTCAGGTGAATAGGAAGTACTCTCCTTGTATTAATGCTAGGTCTCCGTATCAGAAGGACCAGCTCTCTTCCTCATTTGTTCAGTGTGTTTCAGAAGTCAGTCAGTTAAACCAGCACATCTGTTGACTTTTCCTTCTGAGTCATTTCTGTTTCTTTAACCTTTCTCGGAAAGAAAAATATCTTCTCCATGAATTGAGTATATTTGTATTACCTCTCTAGGTCTGAATTTCCTCCTTATTTTTGATTTATGAATGATTGGTGAACACTGTTTTAATCGCTATACTTTTATTGCACACTGTTCAGTGTAATCTTTGTCTTCTCTCAGCCAAGCACCAGTTTTTTTTTTTTTTTTTTTTTAAGAAAAGAAGTAAAGGTTGTTGATAACCTTGTTTAAGAACATAGGACATATTTAGTTGGGGGGGGGTCAAGTGTTTCGATTAAAAAATGGAGAGAATAATTAAATATCTTGCCTGCCTGCTTTAATTAGGCACTTAATTAAGGACCTTAACTGACCCGGAGATATGTTCTTTCTTGTTCCATTTCGTGAGTCATTTATTACAAAGGTGAGTAAGAAATGGTTCGCACCTCTGTGAAGCATGAGTGTACTTCAAGCAACGAAATAACTTGCCCTTTCATTCTACGAATATTAATTGAACTCTTACTATTTACCAGGCATTGTTCTTGACATTGGGGATACAACAGTCAACAAGACAGACAAAGATCTCCTCATTTGTGTTATTCACATACTAGTGGGAAACAGACCATGAATGCTGATTAGAAAGAGACGGGTGTTAGATAAAATCAAGGAAGGTGGGACCAGCAGATGGCATAATGGTTATGTCGCTGGACTCCTACTGTAGGTGACTGCAGTTCGCAGTTCGAGTCCTGGGCCTAGTAGCTTAAAACTCATGCCGGGTGCCTATGCGTGCACGCCCAAGATCCCAGGAGGAGAATGGAGGAGAAAGGATTCTCGCATTGTGTGAGGGGGGTGGGTTCTCTCTTTCTGTCTCTCTCTGTCCAGCGAACACACATGCCCTTTAGCAAAAATCTCTCTCAAATAAAAAAAAAAAGAAAAGAAAAGGCAGTGATAGAAATCTTGGAAAGGGGGATGGGTGGGTTGATGCTTAAAATATTAAACACAGTGTTCAGAGAGGCCTTCAATGAAAAGGCGACATCAAGTAAAGAGCCGAAGGACATGCAGGCATGATCCATGAGGATAACTGGGGAAGAGCCTTTTAGGCCAAGGGAAAAGATGCAAAGCCCTGCAGAACGCACTTGCTGGTTTCACAGCAAGGAAGCTGGTGTAAATAGAATGGAAATAAAGGAAGGAAAGACCAAGAGTTAGGAAAGGAACGCAGAGGAGAAAGGCCTTTGGAAGCCATCACATGGACTTTGTCTTCTGAGTGAAACAGGCCACTGGAGGGTGTTGAGCACAGCACTGCCATGATCCTATTAACATTTCCCTAAGACGAGCCTCGCTGCTGCCCTGACAACACAGCGCTTCAGAGGCAAGAGCGGAAGCAGGTAGGCCAGTTAGGAGGCAGGAATCCAGGCAGTAAGCGAAGCAGCAGAAGTAGTGAAAGGGGATAGATCCTGGAAACGTCTGTGAAGGTTTAGTTTGAGAATTTGCTGACAGATTGAGTTTGTTTATGGGAAAAGGAGGAGTCAAGAAAAACTCTAAGGGCTGGGCCAGCCCTCACAGCTGTGGCATTGGGAGCAGGGTCCACAGCCAACTGTAGTTTGAATCTGGTCCCAGCAGCTTGAGAAAATTGGGGTGTGCGTGCATGCTTGCCCCAAATTCTGGTAGGGTGAAAAATGGAGGAAAAAGGATTATGCTTGACCACATGTTGTTGTTGGGGTTTTTTTCTCTTTCTCATAAGTGTATACACTCACAAAAACAAACAAGAAACCCCAAACTCCAAGAATTTTGTCCCGTTAGGAGAATGCAGTTGTTATTAACCAAGACGGGAAAAATTTATGTTTGAACATGTAAAATCAGAGAAGCCTGTGGGACACCAAGCTGGAGACACTGAAAAGGTGCTGTACAGGATGGTGTTGGCAGGTGGTGTGGTGGTTAAGGGTGTTGGACTCCCACATGGCTGACCACAGTTCGAGTCTTGGACCTGGTGGCTTGTTTCTCTCTCTTATGTGCACCTCTCTGGTCAAATTAAAGTAAGTAAATAAATAAAGTTAAATAAAATAATTCTTTTAAAAAAAACCTTAAAAATAAAAAAAAGATGTTCAGGAGTATGAGTTCAGGCAGAGGTCAGACTGGAGACACTTATCTGCTGCTCACCAGTTTACTTATTTATTTATTTATTTATTTATTTATTTATGGAGAGGTTTTTGCTATAGGGCGCATACGCTTGCCAGAAAGAGAGAGACAGAAAGTGAGAAATCACCCCCTGGGGGGATGGCCACGTCGCAATCCGTTCTCCTCCATTTTCCTCTTGGGATCTTGGGCACCCACGCACACGTGCCCAGTATGAGTTTAAGATACCAGGTCTGGGACTCGAACCGTGGTTGACTACATGGGAGTTCAGCAACATAGCCATTACGCCAACTCACCAGTTTATAGATGATGCAAAGAAAGAAAACTGGATGAAGGCTCGAAGGAGTAAACATAAGAAAGAGAGCCCCCCCCCCCAGATGAATTCTGGAGCTTTCCACAATTCAGAGGTCAGGGAGATAAGGAGGAACCAACCCAAGAAAGCTGGGAAGCAGCACAGAGTGGTAGAAGGAACAGTGGTGAGCGTGATGCTCTACTGTGCCACAGGGCCAGTGGAGAAAGGTTATTCTACTGCCGAGGGTGCTTGATCCCAATTTCCACAGTAAATTACAATTACAATGGGTAAAGCCCAATTTCAACAGTGGTGACAGCCACAGAAGCAGCAGCAGGCCCGCTAGACAGAGGGGATTCTCTGAGTGCCACCATGTTCAGTTGTAAAAGTTAATGGGAGGCTACCCATAGCAGCCCACTAAAGGCAGAATGACTAACTGACTCTGACACCTCAGGAATGAAGTTCAATTTTCTACTAGGTTAGAAAAACAAACAAAAACTTATCAACTAAGTGGCTGAAGACAGTAGGAAAGTGATATGGGCTTCGAAAGAAGTTAGACTGGTGGTGGCCATTAGATTGATGAAAATGAGGACCACGCCAGCTGTTTATTTCCTCTTATGGATCATTCCCCTGCTTCTTTCCTTCTCCTGTCACACGTAAAAGGTTCAGGGTGAGGTGGGTTTGACCTCACTGGAAGAAGAATTCACGTGTCTCTGGCGATATTCAGACTGGTAGCACTTCGCGTCTTTTAGAATAAGCATACTTTTGTATGAGATGAGGTTTGCTGTGTGTAGCTCTCAAAATGGGCAAAAGGAGGGTGTATGTACTGAGGGGCCCACGGGGTGCTGGACAGTACCT